ATGTGTATAGCTGCAGCCCCAATATTCAAGCTCATAGGGCTGCTACTTTAGTCTCCTGATTTTTATGAAGCTTTGATTCAAAACAGAGACCCCATTTCACATTACAGTACATAAAGCAAATATTATCTAACTGGATATTACATATCTGAATAAGAAAATTTAAATTAATAATATGAGCAAGTAATTACCTTCTGTAATTGTTTTATGATCTCTTCATCTCTATTTAGATATGGCTTATAAGAGGTATAAACTCCTAAGAAGTAAAGAAAAGAAGGTAAACAGAAAAACCTAAGTATCCATATAAGTATATATTGAAAAATTAATAAAAGTCAATACCAGGTTTAGAATCCAGAGTCTTTAGGTTCTTCAATTTTTTCACTTTCACCTGCTTAGGAATTTCACCTGAAGGAAACAGCATAAAGATGTTTATAATTGTTCTAATCATATACATTACAAAACTGTAATTTTATAAGAGTAATAATCTTCTAACTATTTATTATTAATACTTAGGGATGCTACAGTTAAAGCACTCTTCTTAACATCAATTAGTATTTAAGAGTTCATTTCTGGTATTTTAAAACTAGATAAAGGGAATACTGGATTATTATAACAGTACAGAAACAATTCATGTGAATTATACAAAATGGATATTTGATCTTTCATGAGTATCAATACTTAAATTTTTCCCTTTTTGTCATTCAACGTGTAATTTAAAATCTACATGCCAAATACATAAAATTGAAATTTATGTGTCAAATAGGAATAAAATGCCCTTTAAGAGTAAATGAAATAGAAAGCAATTCCTAAGTGACTCTGCAGATGTAGTCTTCATGGGTTTTTGTTTGTTTGTTTGTTTTTTCAGAGAGAGTCTTGCTCTGTTGCCCCGTCTAGAGAGCCAGTAGCATCATTACAAGTCACTGAAACCTCAAATTCCTAGGCTGAAGCAATTCTCCCGCCTCAGCCTCCTAAGAAGCTGGGACTACCCGTGTGTACCACCACACCCAGATAGTTTTTCTATGTTTGTAGAGACGGGGGTCTCACTATCGCTCAGGCTGGTCTCGAACTCCTGGCCTCAAGCAATCCTCCCGCCTTGGCCCTGGCCTCCCAGAGTGCTAGGATTACAGGCATGAGCCACCGCGCTCAGTCTCTTCAAGCGATTTTTTTCCTGATACCTCCGCAAATTTTGCTTTTGCATTAAAGAAACTTACCCTGCCACCAAGTGGTGACAGTGTGCAACAACCACAGTTCTGAGTCACAGATGGACAGGACTCCTGAGCAGGCTGCTGTGTTGAACAGCTTGCACAGTATATGTAGTAGCCCTGATTTTGGGGTCAAAGAAAGCTAAAACTAAACAACTCTTACATAGGCAGAAAAATGCCTCAAGAGACACACTTAAAACTGTCATGAGCACATCTAACAGATTTTCCTTCTCCTTTTCTCTGCCTTCCCTCTTGTCTGCATAAACCAAAAAACTGAAAGACAATCCAGAGATTATATAATTCAACCCTCTAAATTTACAAAATATCTTTGTTTAAATCATTATGTAGCTCAAACTACTAAGTGTGGTATAAACGGGGATGGGATTACAGGAACAGGGAACATTTTCACTTGTCATCTTTAAGAGCATGTACTACAGTAAAACAGATATTTTTATAAACTCTTTTCATTGAAATACAGTTGACCCTCAAACAACACGGGTTTAAACTGTGCAGGTCCACTTATACACGAATTTTCTTCTGCCTCAGCCACCCCTGAGATAGCAAGACCAACTCTTCCTCTCTTCCTCCTCAGCCTATTCAATGTGAAGACAACCAGGATGAAGACCTTTACAATGACCCACTTCTACTTAATGAATAGTAAATACATTTTCTCTTCCTTATGATTTTCTCAATAACATTTTCTTTTCTCGTTTATTTTAAAAATACATATGACATACAAAATACATGTTAATCAACTATTCATGTTATTGGTAAAACTTCCAGTCAACAGTAGGCTATCTATCAGTAGTTAAGTTTTGGGGGAGTCAAAAGTTACATACAGATTTTCAACTGTGTAGGGGGGCAGTACCCCTAACCTCCATGTTGTCCAAGGGTCAACTACAATTTCAATCCTGCAGAAAAGCTGGAAAATAATACAGTCCATATGCCGATTTTGTCAACTGCTCTTGATAACACTTTAAACAGACACTTGTTAAAGAAGCAATGTGATGGATATACAGACTTATGTTTTCATTGATTCAGTAAATATTAGTAAATGTAAGATATTGGTAATATAGGAACCAAACAGCTAATTCCTAATACCAAGGAGCTCACAGTCTAATGGCAAAATATGACAAAGAGAAATGACAATATTGATGAATACATGCTAGGACAGAAATATAAACAAGACACTATGGAGACATAGAAGAGTGTCCCAGCTCAAGAAGAGTAAGAAAATTATTGAGGATTCCTAAAGTGGGTTACATTTAAGCAGAATTAAAAGAGAGGGAAGAAAAATGCCACAAGATACACATCTAAAATTGTCATGAGCACACCTAACTTAACAGACTTTCTTTCTCCTTTTCTCTGCTCTCCCTTGCTGCATAAACCAAAAAACTGAAAGACAATCTAGAGACTATATAATTCAAGTCTCTAAATTTATAAAATATGTTTGTTTAAATCATTATATAGATCAAACTGCTAACTGTGGTATAAATGGGGGGAGTTATAGGAACAGGGAAGAAGGGGGAAAGATCTTTTAGGTAAAGAGTTAAATACAAAAAGCATGAAGAACATGCTGCTTCAAGAGTTGCGGGTAATGGCAAGGAGAGGAATAGCCACCATATACTGAAGACTTTCTCTGTGCCAATCTCTGGTCTAAGAACACTGCACAAATTATCACATTTAATCTTCACAATAAAACTATGTTTATGATGTCCATTTAACAGATGAAGAAACTAAGGCATGGACAAAACTTATATTTACCTGGTATGCACCAGAACTAGCTAATTACTGCCATCATCTATTCTGATTAATGAGTGCCCTATTAAGACAGGTTGTTAGCTCTGTCATAACTAACCACAGAGAATACTATGTCCAAGGACACACAGATAACATGCAGAAGCCAGAATA